AACAAAAAGTATCATCCGGGCCATCGGGAACGCTCAAACTGTACCAGTATGTCGCATTGTAGCAAGCACCTATAATAGTTTATTTTTGTAGAGAATTATCAAAATTAATTAAATCAACCCACATTTGTAGCAACCAATTTATCATAATTTCCACAATTGACACGGTACATTACACACAAGAATGAAATTATGCTTGATAGTTATCAGCATATTACGTTAGTACAAATAGCATCGATTAAATCTGCATGAAAATTTCAATCGACTTGACTCAAGATAAAACTAGATGCATCAGTACTGACTAACGAACTGGTTCAATAAGAAGAGTATGTTCGAATTCGAAAAGATATAATGAAGAATTCGCCCATCTGCTGTCTCCAGAGCAAGCCCTACCACGTTACCCTGTCACCCTATCACGTAACGGAGTGCAGGAGATATACGGCATGTAATGAAATACCAGGTGTATTTGCAAGAAAGGGTAACCGCACGTCGGTTCGCTGAAACATCGTGCATGGTGGTTCAACCGCAGAGGGCCGGAGTGCCTGGTGAATCGCAGTAGGTACTAGGTTTCTTTGACCTACTTAAAGTACCTAACTTCGTGACAGGTTACGTTCCCGTTTGTCGAGAGTTGCGGTCAACGGGTCGAATTCCGATCTGCGAGTAATGTTTTGAAAAGCATCTGATTTAATACTTGATTTAGGACTGGTAAGCAGTAGGTACGATTTGTAAGTCATACAATAAAGGCAACTACCGTACCATTAATGCAATAGCTACATTTTTATAAATGAAATATTTTTTAGTACCCGGTCTGAGTCTACGTTATTTGTGTTGTCTATGAGAAACAATACTAAGTACTTATTATGCAATGCGCTCAATTTGCTAGCTCTCCCAGATTGTGAGAAAGCAAATAAACTGATTCGTGCGATCTTTGTGATCTTTACTTATACGCATCACGCATTTTCCACAGAACAAAACGGATCTCAGCTGTCAGCTGTTGAAATGCCTTGCAATAATTTCAAGAAATTATTCTACGGCCTAGAAGATTAAACTTTTCAGACACTATAAGTATATATCCGCTTTCCTCAAACTCATGCCATTGGTTATAAAATTCCAATTGGTCATTGGGAGCTATAAAATTCTCTCCCGAACATTGTTCAAAAGGATGACTGCAGAAACCAGTGCAATACTTCCAATACAAAATTGTCAACTTGTTAACTTCCCGTAATGTTCATCGGCACGACATAAATACTTACTTATAATGAATTGCAACACCTAGTGCCTTTCCTGTTTCGATATACCGAAAGGGAGGATCTTACTACTACTACTTTTTTTATAATAGGATATTAACTACACTACATTTTTATTGTAAAGTGTCATGGAAAATTTGCCTCGTAGACCCTTGTTCATTATGACAGTCATCCTAAAGATTATAACTTATTTTAATATAATTACTAGCAATAAGTTAGAACTTAAATAAAGCCTGCGTACGTACACCTACATTTTTTAAACTCACCGGTACCCATTAGGTTCATTTAATGAGTGCTGATTCTCTACTTGACCCTTGAATTCATCGAGCGTAAGTTGTATAACAAAAAATAAATAGAAACCACATTCTTTCGCATATAACTCTAGGAAAAGTAAAATCTCCTTCCGTAACATAATACTCGCTTACTGAAATCTTCACTTGTATCTATGACATTGTATGAAAATTTCCGGTGAATATCAAAGAAAAACTTCTTAAACTTCCTCCATCTGTACAAGTTAATTACTCATTTTAACAAAATTTAATGAAGTACCATTATAAATATATGAGTTAGCAATCGCTGATTAACAATAAGTATGCAGTATCAATTCAGACAGAAAGTCGTCGCTTTCCAACGTCATAACAAAACAAATCCTACCTCAAAACAAGAGGGACGAAAAGAGTTGTATGAATGTGTATGGAATTATTATTAGTAGCAGGTCAACCAGATTCATAAAAATGTAGAAAAATATATAATTTCAATAGCGCATGCATAAATAATTGACTAACAAGTTTTCACGGGCAAACCCTGTTAGCAGTTTCTGTTAAGGTACATTGCTCCTAGGTGCATATGGTGCGTCACGGCTACAGCGACAGAATTGCTTGACATTTAATTTACTGTAATAGAAATTATTGATATCACAGCTCGCTTGATACGAAACAGTAGCTTTCCGTGATACTCGGGTACGTAGCTGTATCATACGAAGAGCGTGGCCGTCGGAGCAATTTAATGTTCGAAAATCGTAACGAATAAAGAGATAACCCTCGCGAGAGTCAATGAAGATCTTGGAAAATCTTGGGCAGCGAAGCTTCTTAACTCCCGATTAAAGATAGCGAGCACGCGCGCCCTCCAGCTGAAAATTTCAATCGGATGGCTGATTGTGAAAGGAGCAAGCCAGCAAGTACCTATGCCGAGGTATAGATATGTTCGAGAAGACACGCAGGAGCAAATGGCTGGCTTTCGTGCCTGGGACGAGTTTCGTATCTGATCTTGTCGTACTCGACTCTAGGACGTATGCCACGGATCCGGCGGACACTCGCATTTACACCTCTGTTTTATGACCGCTCGTTTATTAGCCACTACCTACAACTCATTTGCCCCCGATTCGGAAGCGGCTTGTTAGCTGCTCTTATCGAATCGGCTGGGTACAAATTCACCCCGTGCGCGACGGCCCACGCGATCACAGTGCCAATCGCCGATCGGAAAGTTCAACGTACCGTTAGCGCTTTGGCTCCTTATCGGCAAAGTAGCATGGGCTACACGCGCCGCGTCACAAGCAAATTTAGGACTCCTAATGGAAGTAGGTGATATTGCGCCAGGCGGAGGCATTCGCAATCAGCTTCTGTCCTTATTAGACAGCATATAATCATATCGGCACTAACTTGCTCGTAACTCCAGCACCGTATAGAGCACCGCGATAGCCTTATACCTATCTCTCCCTTAGCCTTGCGCATCCGGAGCCACTGTAGGTGTACAGGTAGTTTCGCTCGAGAAGACACGACTCCTAGCTATCGAATTAAATCACGGCAAATAAGCGTGATGCGGAAGCAAGTATATTCGCACGCACTGAATTCCGAATTGCTCCCCTGTGCGCTGCACGTTATCAAATAGTTTTCGAGAGAGAAAAATACTAAAGATAAACGCCTAGTAAGACCGTAAGGTCCAGCGGCTGCTTCTCATTACTCGTTAGACTCATATGAAACGAGCTGTAGAAGAAACACGAAGAGGTACCCCCGGTAGCTCGCAAAGAGAAAAGATAAGGGGTAATGAATGCGATACCCTCCGTGGTTCGTCTACCGAGGATGGGAAGAGCGTGTTTTTCTTCGTCCTCGTACAGAGGCTTCGTGTGTGCCAGAAGCCGCCCGCGGCCATTGTTGCGCCTCAAGATCCATTAGGGATTTCAGATATTTATTATGCGAGCTGTTCAGCTATCTCGTGAAGCGACCGTGCAGTCTCTTTATCGGATTCCGCGAATTTCCGATATCACCCTTCTTACATTAGAGAATGAGAGAGAGAGAAAGAGACCAGTAGGAAGATGGAGAGAGAATCCAGGATGCTGCGACTACCAGCGCGCACACAATTTTAGTCATGTTTGCATACCGTCATAGTCGAAGCATATACCGTGAATAAAAATCTATTTCGAATTCTTGATATAAAACAAAACCTAGTCTGTCGCTCCGTCTAGATTGTATAATGGTAATCAGCAGTGTACCTATGTAATTAAAGTCCATCACATCGAAGCTACCGAGCTTACCTTAAGGATCCTCTTCAACCTTGGCCAGACACTTCGAAAGCTGCTTAAGGAACAGAAGCCGCACACGATAAAAAGACTATTTCCGTCTAGCAGTTAGGTTGGTAGCATTAAAGATATCAGCCAAGAGGCTGACACGTTAAAAACATACACATTAAAAACATAGTAGCTCGCCTTCGTGCGTGCATCTTTAATCCGTCTAGGACCTCGTCCTGTCTGACGAGTATCCCCTGAAATCCCCTTCCATCCAAGCGTCCAGAAAACAGGCTTCTGCTATTCCCTGAGGGAATCTTGTCCCGGGTACCACGCTTTCTCGCCTCTTTATCGAGCCAAAGAATCTTCCAAGTATACAATTTTACGTTGGAAGGCAGACGACCACGACTACGTAGATATACGTATATAGTGATTTGCCTTTGCTCGAGGATGAATACCTTCGATACGAGAGAGAAGAGATCTCTCGTGATACATTGTACCGCGAGTATCCTTACGGAATAGACAAAGAGTGAATAAAATATGGAATACGTGAAGAGCTTCGAAGTAGTCGCGTGGGTTACGGATAGGTATTGTAATGAAACAGTCGTACAAGAGTATAGAGCTGATACAAATAGTTTGCTGCATGTAGTGCTCTACATTTCTGACGGCCGAATTACAGGGATTCTTGTTATATGTATATTTGTGAACGATAAGAAAAAAAAGTGTCCCTTTCCCGATTTGGATAGTATAGACATCGTCCATTTTGCTGCTTCATATTCATGAACTTTTCGGTAAATATTAGTTACATGTATTTATATATTCTTATCGTTCCGATCTACGTGTGAATTAATACACCTGTCACAAGTTACGATAACAAATTTAAAATCCCATCTTCACGAATGGCCTTTAGATGTTCAGAATTTCGAAATACGCAAGGTACCGCTGTGATTAAAGATTCCGTGAAATGATTCAGCCGAGTGTAACGGTTGAAACGGGTGGGTGATTTGAGAAGGATATGGTATTGCGAGGGTGTTCTGATTGACTCGTGATCGGCGGCCATTGCCTCGGACACCACAGAACGGCCTTGCTATTACCTTCGCAGCTATCGCAAGTCGATTCCTGGAACGGTGCGAGAGTTTACCACGTAATGAGGCATCGTCGCTGGCCTGTAGTCACTCACGGCATAAGCGCATAAATGAATATGACGCAATAACGACGAAATGAAATCCTGGAAAGTGTTCATTGGATTTTTACAGGTGTCGGGAGAACTGCAGGTGCGGACCCGTCGACCCAACCCACGGCCAGTTGCGAGAGAGCCACGTACCTGAACCACCAGCCAACAGAAACCAAGAACCAGCGCCTTCCGCACCTTCCGCGCCTATGACGTCGGTGAATAAAGCCAGGGACTACGTGGGCTTTACACTGTCGTGATCTGATTTATGCGTCACGCTGTACAGGATGTCTCGAAAATACACAAGAGAATAAACGGCAATATTCTACGTGTCCTGAAGGGGATACCGTGGCGCGGGGAACACCTTTTCAACCAATGATCTGGTTCTCCATGTCGAAGATGTCTTACGTCAGCTGCTGTCTCAGGTGATCTAAGTTATTATACTGGGGGAATTTGAAAAGCAATGGGTAATAATTTTTTTCCGACACCCTCTAGATTAACGCATGTTTTCGCGTGTGCTTTCACTGGGTGAGAACATTGCGTGACCTTTTCCGATGCTCGGGGGTACCAGCTGGTGGTGAAAGATCGGCAAAAGATCTACGAAGGATCGCAGGCTAATTGTAATGAACTTGCGCAAGAGAATATGCTTACGCCTTTTGCACTTTGCGATATTCCAATCACAAGGAATCGCAGCACGATACACATAATAATAGCGACCCTAGATTCATGATAGTTTCTGTAGTTTCTGTACCTCTATACCATTATGCTTTGTCTCTACAACGATTAGTATCGTCGCACGATCAGCACGCGTATCGTTTTAATAATCGAAATGTAAATCATGCAATGAATTTAGGATGCGTCTTCCTAGGCTGGAATGTTCCTGCACTCGATCGTCTCTGATCTATCGTGCCAATGTCTCTCGGGGGCCTCGAAGAAGTATTACAGTTGTTCAGCATCAGTTTTACTCAGTGACTTTGATCGGGCAGTTGCGGAATGCAGGTCGGTTGCTGTTCGGAGCACTCTACTCCATTCCACTTCATAGCATATAACAAAGCGCAGTTAAGAGTGCTGCATAGAGTGCACCGAACGCTTCGAGCGTACACGGCGTAATGAGTGGTTCCGTGTCCCTAGTTCTCTAGGACGTCTCTAGCCAGCGATCCCTATCTTAGACTGGCTGACATTTGACATGCACGACGAGCATGCGTCCAACCAAGAAGTTGGAACTTGCAAGTGGTTAACTTGAAAAAATTCTAAGCGCAGGTTAACCACAAGCGAGAAAAGCTCCTCTCGGTTACGACAGCAACGTTGGACAAACGTGAGAAAAGTTTCCCGCATATGGAATTCGCTCGTAAATCCGCTATTAGTGCAAAAGATGATCGACCCGAAAAACGCGGAACGATTGGTACCACAATAGGAAGGATTGCTCGACTGCTTCTTTCCAGAAAGGCGTGTATGCTGATTCCTATGGCCACTCCTAATTTAACTTCAGTCCTCGTTATTCTGAGCGTAGCATTCCTCAGGATGATATCGAACGTGCAACCAGGAATCTACCATAGGAGTCCGTAGGTACGCGGCAGTTGACCGGTAGGTCGAGGCGGCTCGCAACAATATTGCATTATTATTTATTAATTCGGAGCATACGAGATGTGTATCTGCGCGGTGCGGCGTGGTGAGCACTCCCCAGCATCACGACTTTCTTATCTTCTGAGCACCACCCGGTAGACAGTGGTTCTCTGTCCATGTAACTCAACTTACATTCCATCATCTCACAGAAACAAAAGAGTACGTACAAATATGCATCAGGATACTCTCGGTGCAGTATTTGAATAGAAAAGTAAAGACACGCAGAAATATAATGTTGATTAATGAAGCCCGAAGAGAGCATTCATTCTACAATTGGTATAAGTAGAAACGATATAGGTTATTGAGAAGCAGTCTATCTTCTATTATGTTCGTAGATTACGTCATTCGCCATCCGATATAGGAGTGAAGTCATATATACAGTTTATAGACGATAAAATTCTGTCTTAGGGAGGCCATGTTTTTTTATGACTCAATATAAAAGAATTTTTAACTCCCTCAGATTTCTGCCACGGATTGACTATAGTATGGTCGCGACGTTACCAGTAAGAATGGATCCTCGCTGGTATCGTTGCATAATGTACTGTCCACCTCTGGTCCGCTATGGCAATCTAGTGTCATCGCTCTGACCTCCGGTACCAGCGGCTACTGTTCTGTGATTACCATGATAATTCGTTCGCTTGACCATACTCACTCCATGCCGTGGGCAGATATAGAGTCTGCAATAGCACCGTCCGATTGAACGATTCCGTATTCTTAACGAGCGTTGGGGAGCAAGTACAGTTTGTCTCTACCATTGTTTCGTCGTATTAGTAACCTCTTCCAAAATATCTCCAGATACTGTGTCAACGTTTTGGGAATATTACTGCATCAGGATTCTGATTTCGTGTAATTAAAACAATAATACGATTATCTAGTTACACGTAATTGAGATAGAGTGGGAGAGTACATTATATTAACGATCGTTTAAAAGGTCAAAGTTGAACGTTTACTCGATCAGCGAGAAACAAGCGAATAAGGAGGTCGTGTCTAAATTTAAAGGCAGCAGCTCCAAAAGGTGCGCACGTGCGACGGCGACCGGTTTGTGAGACAATCATTGGTATCAGTCAGTCGAAATCGGTTTTGAGTGTTTTCAAATTAGCTCAAATATTTAAATTCATATAATGTAATTGAACGATGGATATTTTGAAAAAAAAAAAGAAAAAGAAAATACCAGTCTTCTTTGGATTTCATTAGTTATTTTGAATTCGTCCCTCTTAGACTCTTAGAGGGGTGACATGCAGCTGACGTCTAAGGTCTGCGTGACGGTAGCTTGACAGGAGACAGTAATGGACGATACATATGTATATATCGTTTAAATTCATAAGTAGGCAGTCGGTAGTACTTCAAGCTCTTGTCAGGGAGTGTTCGCCGAGTTCTCCGCGTTCTTCACCCCGCGCCATCATTCTGCGGCGCTCCAGTCGCTCGGCGTCCTCCGTTGTCCATCCTTATGCAGAGCAGCGACGATTTCCTCGTGTCTGAATGGCTTGAATAATATACGTTTGAAGTTAATGGTCTCCATTCAAGGCGCCTCCTGCCGTGGTCACTGCTTCGATCCCACGTTCCACCGTTTCGTGTGTCACTCAAGATCCCCATATGTAACTTAAACTGGGATTCGATGCGATGCGCACGTTATGCACGAGTCATCTTATGCGCGCAGGTATTTATGCCCGAACCATTCGTACGCTTAGCGCATTTAAGCGTGCTACTATCTGGCTCGTTGTCCTCGTCTTTTACGTTGCAAAAGAGGAAATAAAAAAAGTGCAAAAAGGCAATAGATCCCAATCATATATAATTGTGTCTATATACAAGTATATAATATCTATGGTATCGAGCATCCAACTGCGAGGTGTTCACAATGCATTGACGGGAAATACATTGGGAGATGTATGTCATTTTCGCGATACTTTAATGCCGACTTCTAGAATATTCTCTCCTGTTGTTGTTGTTGCTGCTGCTGCTGCTGCTGCTGCTGCTATTGCTGTTCACAATGATCGCTTCGATCTGAACGAGATGTAGGCAGATAGTAGGTATGCTGATACAGGGAGACGGTAATTGCATGTCACCCAGGGAGGGAAAGGCTTAATGTAAGCTCGCCCAGAAGACTTATTTAATAAAGGACCGTTCTACGAAGAAGGACGATACGATGATTAAGCGAATGAGTGCTCTTCACTTGATAGAGGAGTGCCACCCGTGAGTCCGTACGTTAAATCACCCGGGACATCCCGCTAGGCTCATCTGCCTACCTTTCTTATCCGGCCCGTTTATCACGCCGCAAAACAGATCAAAACGATCGACACGCGAACGACACGTTAGAATTGCCTGCCATCACTGATTCGCTCTGCCGAGTCCCGAGTCATTTGAAATCGAGAAGCTAGTACGATCCAATTTTCTCGCGAATCCCACTGCGAGATCTAACGATAAAACGTTATGAGATTTATCTCATTTGCGCAGGTAACACTGTTCGAATATTATACAAAGCACGTTGGGACGATGTTTGCGATGACAATTAAATTGATTGTAACACTTTAGCATAACGCTACGTTGAAGCCTATCGAATAAATTTTCACACGTTTCAAAGAGAGTCCTAGATCTGAGGCGTTTTATCGTCATAATGTATCTCATTATCCGTAGATCAGCTTGAGAAGTTGGCGTAAACTGTTGCGCGACGCGAAAGAATGACGTAGCTAAAACGTGTTCCTTTCAACTGGAGGTGAAGAAGCGATTAATGGACTTTTTGTGCAATCACTGCGTTCCCGCGTGAAGTTCTGTAGCTTCGTGAAACTTCATTGATCACCGATAGAACTATAAGTACGAACACTGTATCTATTCTATGGAAAACCGCAAACTTTTTCCGCCCCGTCTAATTTGCCGTAGCTATATAAGACTACGTATCTATGGCGTAATGAGGAATTCATGACGTAAGATATTGTATTTTTTCCGTGCAACATACAAAAACTCTCAGCCCACTTTAATGAGATTCCAGACGAGTGAAAGGACGCCCCGGAAGACGGTGCGGAAAATATGTCGCGGTGTGGCTAAAAGGATCGTTACGTAACGTGGAGCAATTCGTCAGCCTTAAAGTTTGAGAACTTGACCATATCAGTGGGCATTTTAATCCATCACCACCAACTACGTCGATCCTTAGAATCCTACGCCTGTGATAACCATTCGGAATTATATTGTGAACGAGTTAGCTCGATTTGGAAGGAAGATGTCGAGGTAACTGGTGGGCTCCATTGGGATCTGAATGTTACCATACATAATTATCTGATTATTATAATTATTGTCCGAGGGCGTCCGAGGGCCAATAACTAAGGAACAAGCTGAGCGAAGGTGGACGATCCAATTAACTGGAAAACTTCCTCGGGCTGATCGATACCTGATGATGTCCATGTCTCTAGTCAAATCGAAGACGGTAGCACGGTTGCCATGTTACATATGTAAGTAAAGTCCTCACGAGATCGGGCAACGCTCGATTAAATAGAATAAATTCACATGAACGAAAGCCACTCAACCAAATCCAATATATGTACTCATTTGTTTCACATAAATTCGGTCAGCCACTGATGCATATATTTTATATATATAGTAGGAATGTACATAGGTATCGTTCGACCGGTTTGCCTTCCATGTACGACGCCGTGTCGTACAGCTTTAATGAGTGTGCTAAGATGTCCGAGTACTTCATGATATACGAGACGGAAACATGAGAGCTCATTGACGTAGAAGCTGGAAAAGGGATGGAAAGGCAGATTTAATTATGGAAAATATTACTATTCCTTTCTTTACTTACTACGTAGAAAACTCATTTCTAAGTCGGTATATACTATAATTTTTCACGTGAACCTGGTTTACGATGCCCTTTTTCTCTTCGTCTTGAAGGCTCGATAATAGATTCCGAGGATTCCGAGAAGGTCGCACCCTGAAACCCTCATCGATGACACGCGTCTTGACACCTTGTCACGCAACTACTAGTTTACGGCTGACCAATCAAGTGATGATATCTCCGAGCGGTTGGGAAGCCGCGTACGTCGTTGCTCCTGAACATTTTTTTTAATTAGAACATTTAATTGGACCATCGCCCAATG